GATTGGTCAGCCGTGGCGCGGAGAAGCCACGCCCAAACGTTAGACACATGTGAACGATAAGCCCATGTATTTGTTACATTTTAATAAGCCCATCATATACGAATCGCGTGACTGACACGGGTGTTTTGCAAAACTAAGAGATTCGTTGTGCAGACGAAAAATATTCGTGCATGCTAAAGCAGACCATGACATAATGCTTGATAGCAATGACAATTCGGAGTACAATTATTAAGTGGCAAAGAGGGTTTTGACATGAATTCCCGGTCATCAAAACAAGTTCAGTCAACTACAATAAAACAGATGGACCCAAAACAATTGAATGCTATACAGATAATAATTATTGACCCAGAGTTAGGAGTTCGTTCTTGACAAACCCAGTAATCAAGATCAAAGGTTGATAACAAAAAAACATTTAAAAAAAAACTTGTCTCCAGCCCCCAGCCCAGTGGAGGGTATGCAATAAATTCCTGTATGATTAAAAAAAAAAAAAAATGTTACCGTATGACTCCTGAAAGGTATACAATCATGACAATTTAGTATTCGTGACAACGTACAATTCTTCCAGGGTTCGACTGCTTTACGTATTTGGACAATCGAATTTTTCAAAATTTTCCAGAATTTTCCAGTCACAAAAAAGTAAAACACGCACACAAAAAACATCCTTTCTTTTTCTTTTTTAAATGCAGATTTGAAATGAAGGTTAGGCTGCTCAATTAATGAACCCGTCGCTCAAAGCGTCAATTATCTTTGTGATAGGGCGTCACAGCGGACCGATGTGAGGATCGGTCAGCCGTGGCGCGGAAAAGCCGCGCCCTGTTCCAACGTAACACGCACTTGAACGACGAGCCCAAATATTTGATACAGTTTGATAAGCGTTTCATACAAATATAGGCTTTGTGATTGATACAGGTGACCCTGCAAAACAAAGATTTTCTTTAAACCTTTCTGTCGGCATGCAAATTTAACCATAATTGGGTGACATTAATGGTCTAGTATGCAATGATTCCCATGGTCGGTTACCCGTTCAGATACATGTATTTAAGTCCAAGGGTTTATATATTGCTTTAACGACTATATTCAAGGTTAATGTTGCTGTAAATGGAACAATCTAACGTGGAAATATGCTGTAAAAGAGAGGGGTTAACACGAATCAAAATCCTGTTACAAAAAGCTTCCGTAATTCAAAGCAAGATGTACTTTGACACAAATACTTGCCCATAACCCAACGGGGGTGGGGGTGGGGGTGGGGAGGGGTTGGAAAATATGTAACTTCTAACCTGCGAATTAAGTGACGTCCAAGGGTCCATGGTTAGATGGTAGCTTTATCGGCCATGTACTACTCTACGGTCTATAGGGTGGTCTATACCCCATGAGAAAAAAGGTGGGCGGGGCCAAAAATATACAGAGCTACATGTACATTCTTAGTTATAAATATATCCTGCAGTGGACTGCGAATTGAATGATGTTTATAATCAGGTTTTACCACTGGAAATTGCAGTAATAATATAATGTAATACCTCCAACATTTGGTAAAGAGTTTGGAGTTGGCAAATGCTTGGGTTTAAACTTTCCATTCATCAAGTACAGCGATGGAAAATACATGCCTCCAACCTAACGGGTGTACTTTTCGTTGATCTCTAGGGTTTTAACAGTATTATTTATTTTTTTCTTTCTTTCTTTCTTTTTCCCCTTTTTTTCTTCACACGTTACATGAAATGGCTTCCTGTAAATATATCGACCAAATTCATGGTTTTTGTAACAAAAAATATGAAAAAAGGAAGCACTTTAGTTTTATCTTAGAGCATAAGCAAAAATCAGAGTCCTGATTACAAAATTGCTTCAGAAATTCAAAATTCAAAACAAAGATTTACTTTTCATGTATTATTGTTATTTCTAAGCAAGGCATTTGAAACTCGATGCAAGCAATGTACAGTGATATTAAAGTGACATAGAATATAATTATAAGTATGATTCATAAACTTCTCGTTTACTTTACTCACTTATATCAAATTTCGTTTTTCGGACCTCAAATTAAAAGATGAATAATTGTTTGTGTCACCTGGTAAAACGTTGATTTTGCTCATTCTCTGTAGGGATTCCATGTGGTAGAACCTTTCTCCTTCCATTGGAGGACGATTTTAGCACCTTGCAACTTTATTCTCGTAGATTGGTTTTTCTCCTTTCGCAACTTGTAACCAATTTCAGCAAGATGGCCGCGATGAGCCTTCAGGGTGGGAGGGAGGTCCGTCCTGACCGTTATGCGAGGGGCAGGCGGTGGTGCATGTCGCATTTCCGCTGCGTTTCCTAGTTGCTGCGATGTTTCCTTCGGGCGTCTTAGGTTCTCAAAAGAAGAAAGAATGAGATCTCTGTCTGGCATCTTGATGAATTTAGCGATTATCGGAGCGGGTCGGGAACGGGCTGGGGCACCGGCGTCTGGGGTCCTAGGTTGGTTGCGATAGGGTAATCTGTGGGCGTTGATCATTTGGATCTGTTTGGCGGTTTCCTCATTTATTCCAAGATGGATGAAAACTTTACAAAGCGTGCGATAGATATCCTCGTTTGGTTCGCTTTCAACCCCGTAGAATAGTAGATTTGGTTTTCTGTTGTAGATTTCCATCAGAAGAAGTTTTTCTTTTAGATTAGATATCTCCTCTTGAAGGGGCGCGATGCTAGCTGGTATGGAATTTTCTACTTCAGATATTTTGGCAGAGTTAAATTCAACTGAAGATTCCACATCTGTTAGGCGACGATGAAATGATTGTAGCTCGGTATTGATATTATCAAGTTTAGATAATATTTTATCTGAAAAGTCTGCAATGTCTCGTTGTAAAACCGCATTAGAGGGATCCGGGGTGGTAGGCGAACGAACTTTGTCAGTCGAGGTAGGCGAACGAACTTTGTCAGTCGGGGGAGCCGATGGGGCCGGCTGCTTACTTGCTGTTTGTCGGGTAGTGGGCCTCGGGCCATGGGATGCCATAATTTGCGTTGTGTAACGTGTAATCTTAATGGGTGGCAGGAGCTCCGCTCAAACCGTCCGTTCAGCTCGAAGTCATGTGGCCTCATGACTGTATGAACTTAATAAAAACATGTTCTTCAATTTTTGAATATTTTTTGTTAGAACAATATCAAGTCAGAATAAGAACAATTTTTTAGGGACGATGGATTGAAACAGTTCGAGGCTCATGAATACATGCAACAGGGTCATGCATACTATTCCTAAGCGTGTCACATCGTTTATTGACGATTTCCTGGTCGATGGCGCAATGTAATGGTTTAAAACCCGGTCGTTGCCTTGTAGCAAAGAATTCCTCACCCCCGGGTCTGGTTCCCTTCCCCCCTCGACCCGTCGTCCGGGAGGAGATAACTCTCCCGATGTCGAGCATGACCCTCGTTAAGTGACGCGAAAGACGTCATTGGACCGCCCACAATCGGACCGATGGAGCTCCTAAAATTTTTATTATAGATTAGCATTGGTGATGGTATAGTCACTAATATAGAGCGAGAAGAGAATTGGTGAAATTACACATCCTTGAGGAGCACCAAGATTCAGACATTTGATGATAGAGTTCAGATTATTGCACTTAACCCACTGTTGTCTATCGATAAGAATATTATGAATCATCCTATAAACAAGACAGGGTGTGACATTCATATTTAGTAGCTTATCTATCAGTATGTGAGGTCCAATCGTATTAAAGGAACTTGAGAAATCTATGAACACAGACCTAACATTAGACCTAGGAGTATCCAAATGCTGATACAGACCCTGTAGAAAAACAAGTTCTGCTTCTTCTACACCTCTATTATTCTGATATATGCAAACGGAGTCTTGTCAAAAATATCAACCTGGTTTCTCAGATGTCGATCTTAACAGCAACCGTTACCAGTAACCGTTACCAGCAATAACATTTCATAGGATTGCATGTAAGAGCTACTGGTCTATACTGATTCAGTTAACTAGGGTTTTTCATCTTATAGGAACTGGAATAATATATAATTGAGAATTTCCAAAGATGAGGAATTCTACCAGTATTCATGATCAATCGATAAATTTGTGTACTATACTACTACTACTACCGCACTACTACTACTACTACTACTACTACTACTACTACTACTACTACTACTACAACTATACTACTACACTTCTACTGTTACTACTACTACTACTACTACTACTACTACTACTACTACTACTACTGTACTACTACTATTGCTTTATATACTCTTGGTAGGTAAATGGTCAGAGAATTGACGTTGGTACAATTTCCTGAATTTATGAAATAGATGGTAACAGAAGATCATGATTAAGACAGTAATAGGGCCACACATTTTTGTAATGGTTAACAAGATGCAAATACTCTTTCACTATTGAAATAATACATTTGTTGTGCCATATGCTACAGATTCATGTAGCAGTTACACATGTTTTTGACTCCAGGAGATACTTGGGTTTCAAATATGGTGGGGGGGGGGGCATGCATGGGCATGTCAATCTGCCAATGGCTGACTCTCTCTAGAACTAGGTCTATTCACCTTAAGGTCCAAAAGGACTTTGACAATGCTTGTTAAAGCCACAGGGTAGTTAGCGTCCATGTGCATCGTAATTCGCTGACACTAGATTTGGTTAAATTACCAATTGATTTTTCTGTATGTGCAAAGGTCTTTGAAGCAGCGAACCTGTGGTCCCATCAGAAAATACTCCAATTTGCCTATATCTCGAGGGTGAGGGAAATTTGATATGATGATGAGAATTCCATACGGTGATAGCTAGGCTAGGGCACAGTTAGTGCTTTACACAAGATCTGCAACTGATCTCCACTCTTGGTAACTGACAAAATACCTGTTATTGGGTATAAACACCAGATTGGTGTCAAATTCCCAATGAAGAATCCACTACTATGCGTGAATACATGTAGCGATCTACACTTACCTCTAGAGCTAAATGATACGTTCTTATATTACACTTCACTATGACCATTTCTTTAACACACACTCACCCACTACAGTGACCCTGAAGTTACAGCTGATGTTTGGATAACCAGTCAGATAAACAGTGACAGTATGGTCTCCAAGAGAAAAGGAGGACCCACTGGCTCGAGTGTAGAGAATGGGGAACTCTACACCGTGTGTCGAAGTAGCAGGTTGCCAGCTTGCTGGTACTGCAATACCGGGGCCACCCTCTACCATCACGTTCTCCGGACAGTCAGGGGAAACAATCGCTGTAAGGAAGGAGGTGGGTATATACATAAGATTACCACACAGAGGCATGCCAGTGAGGTAATATCGTGCAGTAACATAATGGCTTCGATCACCTTCATTGGGGGAAAAATCAACCCCGTTACCCCCTCAAGGTGAAAGGTCATAGCTCATTAAATATGCAAAAACACCTAATTATTATGAGAATATGTGGTTAACTTCCTTGCCTAGTAATATAATAGTATAGTATTAATGACTGCTTTGAGAGAAATAAGTTGTTTTTATACGCTCAAGGGAAGGTTTGAATTGTGCTATTTCCCCGAGGCGTGCCGAGAGGAATAGCCCAATTGTAACCTTCCCGAGAGCCTATAAAAACAACTATTTCTCGAATATTAAAGCAGTCATTAATACTTTTATATGCCAAAAAAAAATAGACTAAAAAATAATTTTTTTTTTTTTTTTTTTTTGGTCGAAGATGGGACTCGATCTCTTGCGTACATTAGGTGATGTATCTTCAAACAACGCCGTAGACCACTCGGCCATCGCGCACTGTTAACATGTTTGGCAGTTTTCTCCAATATATACATTAAAATGAATTGAAAACGGATTCGCGTGATGGATGCTTCGCAAAAGCTCCATTAAACGGGCCCTTCTTTTACTTTTGCAATGCATATTGGCACAAACTTAGATCAAGATCTATCGGCAGATGTTGTTTTTTTGTTTTGGAAGTTTATTTTCGTCTTCATGTCAACAATGCAAGATAAAATTGTCGGTAAGATCGATCGAGATTCAATTGTATTGAAATTACCGACCAAATCTTCGCACACGTACGGTATCCTCAATCGCTCAAACCATTTTTTAACATGTAAACCTATGGGGTAACCATGGAGACTGACCTATTTTCCCAATAACCATGGTTATTGGGATTTTAGAACTGTTTTAACCATGGTTACTGGGAATTTTCGGGAACAGTTAAAGTTTATGAATGCAATTTCGACCAATCAGATTGCTGGATTTCTTAAGTGAGGTATATAATGTAGTCTAATGGAGGTAACTTGTTCTGAGGTATATAGGCCATACATGTCTGGAGTTTGATAGTAATCCATCTGTCGGTCCTATTGATAATGTTCACAAGCTATTTTTGCATACATAATGAGCCTCATGACCTTTGAACTTCGACTTCATGAGCTCAAAATCTAATCACTTCATTGGTAGCTCTGCAAGATATACATGACCCAAGTCTAATGGTAATCCGTCCATCGGTTCTAATAATAATGTACCGTATTGGCGATAAGGCCGCACCGCCGCATAGGCCGCACCCCTGATTTTGACATTTAAAAAAAAAAAAAAAAAAAATTGTCGGTAGTAGGGTCGATTTTACTCCATCTAGCCCATGCACCACTTTGTCAGTAGGAAGTAGTTCGACTGGCCATCACAAAACACCCCAACAAATTGGCCAAAATTACGATAAGGATGGGTTGTCTGACCGCCCTTAAAAAATCAGGGTCAATTATTTTGTCTGGCCCTTAACCCTAATAAGGCCGGGGGGGGGGGGGGCCATTATGCCCCCCCCCCTCCACGATTTTTCTGATTGTTCGAGAACGCATATGGATGGCGCCTCGCCGCTCGCTGACTTTTTTCTTTAGAGTCTTGCGCATCTTTAAAAAAAAAAAAAAAAAAATCGGACCTATAGTTACAAGGTCACGTGACCTTTTGTCTTTGCATGTCACCCCGAAAATCGCTCATTTTTGTGATTTGTGTACAAAACATATGGAAATGTCATTTTTCCTAAAAATAGATCAAACATTGGTTATTGGGTCTTGTTTAAAGTTTAAGTAGTTGTTTTGGGAGTCAAAATAATTGAATTGTAGGAAGAAATGAAAAAAAACAAAAAACAATAACATAAATAAGTTAAAAAAACAATGAAATACATAAGAAGTTATCAAAACAAGAGATAACATAAGGAATAAGCTGGCTCTTCCAATTTTTTTTTGTCGTATTATTGTTCCAAATGGTCTAATGAATATATGTAGTGAAAAAGAATGCTTAAATATGAATAATATAGGATTTATGGGTAAAAATGTGATTTTATGACGTTATTTGCATAAATTACCATAAATATGCAAATGAGGAATTTTTTTCAAAAAATTGAAATTATCATATTGTTCTATACACTTCACTTGACATGCGTGCAAATTTTCGCGGAGATCGGCCGTTTCACGGCCGAGATCTTAGGGGGGGGGGGGGCCATAATGGCCCCCCCCCGGCCGTAGTAAGACTTCAAATAGCCCGGCCTTATTAGGGTTAACCCTATCTAGCCCGGGCTATTTTGAAAATGCGTAGTTTTTTTTTTGGGGGGGGGGGGGCTTCTAATAATGATAATAATGATAAACCATTCTTATATAGTGCATATCACAAAAATAAATTAAGTCCCTATGCGGTCATAACAAAGAAAAAAGAGATAATAGCAGACTTGAGGGAAAAGACGAGAAAGAATAACTGCTTTATCATAACATTGTACTAATTTAACAAACCAACAAATGTGTCTATAAGAGACTCTTGAAATGTTTAACTGAATCAACCTGCTCAAGATGACTAGGTAATGTATTCCATGTGCAGGTGCCAGTTGAAAGGGTCTTGCACCATAGTAATGTGTTGATATTGAGGGAGGAACTAACAAGGATTTTGACTGAGAGCGAAGGTTTCTTGCCGGGCAAAATTTTGTTATCAATTGTTGTAAGTAATCAGGGCCTTATCCTTGCATGCACAAGAACACCAGTGTCCAAATCTTTAAATGAATCTGTTGTTTTACTGGCAGCCAATGGATTTTTTCTAAAACTGGGCTAATGTGATCATAAAGTCGAGTGTGAGAAACCAACTAAGGTCCCCCTCCTATGAGGTCAGCCGTGAATCGGGTGATTGCCACAAAAATTTGCATACATGTCAAGTGAAGTGCATAGATTACTATGGTAATTTAATTTTCACTCATTTGCATATTAATGGTAGTTTATGCAAATAAGGAATCAATCTTATATCCAATAATATTTAAACATTAATTTTCACTACATATATTCTTTCAACCATTTGGGATAATAATTAAAAGAAATACAATTGAAAGAGCCAGGTTATTCCTTATGTTATCTACTGTTTTGATACAGTGTATGTATATCTTTTGTTTTAATTATGTATTTTGATGTTTTTGTTGTTTTATTTAATTTCTAACTATAATTCAACTATTTTGAACTTAAACTATAAACAAGACCTAATACCTGATGTTTTTCATCTCTTTTTTTTGGAAGAATGAGAGTTCCATGTTTTTTGTACACAAATCACGAAAATGAGCGATTTTCTGGCTAAAATGCAAAGACAAAAGGTCACATGACTTTGTAACGGTAGGTCCGATTTTCAAAAAAATTACTTCAAAAGATGCGCAAGACTGGAAAGAAAAAAAGTAATAAAATTGCAGCACAACATTCTTTTGCGTTAAAAAATTAGTGCAAAAGTGTAGGGGGAGGTTCTAAAACGCCTGCCCCCTCCCCCCAGGCTAGATAGGGTAAAGCAGTGGCGGATCCAGGATTTGCCAATAAGGGGGACTTAAATTTGAAAATTGCTCCAACCAATATTTCGCTCAGTCGGGGTGGGGGGGGGGGGGGGGTGAGAATATTTTTTTTTTTTTTGCCCCCGGCAATTTGAAAATCGCTTGGGACTGTTCATTTTGCTCAGTGGGGTGGAGGGGGGGGGGGAGGGGGATCTTCGCCTGGGGTTAAACCCCATTCACCAAATTTTGTCAGAAAGAAGAGCTATGGCTGTATGTACATTACAACAACAAAAACAGACAAAGTTTTCTATCGGGTAGGGGCTGTAACAATCCCCAGAAGAATACACCAAAGTACCCTTAAACCAAGGTTTGCTGCCCTAACATGATCTGTTGTACAGAATTTTTTAAATTTACATTCTGACCTAGTGCACAGTTTTGGCAAATTTTGAAAACGTGATGGATAGTAATTTTTAAAAATTTTGATATTTGGATGCCCTGTAGATGGATTATAAGCACTAGAAAATTTAGCCCCTAAAACACTTCAAGTTTCGAGAAATTGAATAATCAAAAATTTGTCGGTGCTCCAGGTGAATTTTAAATAGCCTAAGGCTATTCCATGGTACATGTACATTGTAGCTGCGACCATGAAAATCTCAGAATATGCAGATCTGATTTGTAATTTCCAAACGGAAATAGCAAATCGGTCGATATGCCTTTAAATCTAAAGCAATTTCAGTCTTGAGAGGAATCTATGCAACATAAAGAGTTTATTATTTACAATGTCATCACTTTAGACTTGATTTCAACCGCAACAAAAATCATTGAATATTGTAAAATCACAAATGATTCCAGTATGTTCATTTTAACCAAATTCATGACCCCTTACAAAACTTTCTCCTACCTTTAAATAACTCAAAAAGTGTATAACTCAATTCAGTTCAAATTTACAATGAGCAAATCCGAGTTTTATAATATTATAGTTCTTTAAAGGCCCACTGCACTACTTGTAGCTACTTGCGCCCTCTAAATAACAAACAATGCCTAATCGGTGACCATTGGTCCCCCATGATCCTCCTTTTCTTATGTTAACTGAGAGCTGATTTGATGAGATAACCACCTGTCCAGTGACCTTGCAGGGCGTTCTAATCCCTCCTGTAAACTACGGCAGATAAGCTTTAAGGTGCAATTTGATGTCAAATGATCGATTGATTAGTAAGTGATTGAACTGTAAACTTATATTTCCCATTTTTGGGGACAGAATTGTGTTAACACACCCATTGAAAATATGTATTCGTTTTACAAGACATACTGGAGGAGATTGTCAGGTATCTGGGCTATGTGACTGCCATGTGGATATTTACCATTCATATGTTACTTTATTTCACAACTTATTAATGAAATAATCATTTGAAATCAAAGTGCCCTGAAGGAAAGGAAAAGGAAATACATGTAACCTACGTTACAATAAAAGAATTTCCACTTCATTTTTCACTTGGAAATAAAGTATACCTGTTACTTACCTATTACACTAACGTTAAAGATGCAGGAGTAATTACTCAAACCACCATAGGTAACGTTCACAGTGGTAACTCCGATGGAGAACGATGAATTGGTTGGGGGATCAGCTGCCACAAATGCGGAAATTGATGACCCTGGTGCGTATGCGCTAGTGTATTGGTAGTCTACAGTGATGTTGCTTTCTACAGCAAGGTTGATGTAGGCCGTATTAGTTTCACATGGTGCTAAATAAAGAGAAAAGGGAAAATCGTTACTCTCACAACTAGGGCGGATCTAGGGTTCTGTAAGCATTGGACATATACGAAAAATATCCAACAATCAACAATACTAACATTGCTCTTGCGTACTTAAAGACACTCAGTAGTTAGCTCTCATGGGGAATTCAACACCGTTCGGGTGTACCCAATAAGAGGTGCTGTCAATTACCAGAATTAGCCATCAGTTTTATGAACACCAGGCCTTATGTAACGTACTGCGTTTCCCACGCATTCCCCCCCATGGTAAAGTCATTATCTCACTTTCCCGACACCCGAAGACTCTCAATAGACGAGGGGGTATTTCTCGATTGGCCACCGGGTTCGCTGTGTGCAGGCCTAATACCTGTACACACGTTTATGATTTTTATTATCCACCAAGTCTGGTGTCAGCAAATTATGGCCTTCTCCACATGGAAACTGACAAGTGACTCCCTTTAAGGAATGCTATGCTAAGGGAGGTGGGCAGAGGCTGACTATTCCCTTTTACATCCAACAGTGTCAAATTGAATTTAAAATTGAATTATATACTGTATACAGGCCTGAGATATGGGGGGTATTGAGGCTAGAATATCAACATAAAGATGAATCCAAACCATTTTACAAAACCATTTCATGCAATATCACTAAAAGGTGTGCTTCTTCAGCAGCTATAGAGTGGTGAAGTGTGACGTCATCAAAAAATCTATTTTTGGAATTTCTCAATTTTTTTCTTCATTTTCCGAAAGAGCATCAATAATAATGTCCGAATGTTGAAAACCAATTGAATATGTTAAGTACTGGCTGAGATATGACCATCTGAATAAATAGATTTCCTAAAAGAACTCAGTGTTATATGCTCTGGTTCATAACATTACGAGCCGGAGCAATATAACACTGAGTTCCTGTAGGACATATATTTATTCAGATGGACATTCAGACATTATTTTTGATGCTCTTTTGGAAAATTGAGAAAAAATGGAAATATTGTAAAAATATATTTTCATGATGTCGAAGCTTCGGTACTTTATAGCCTACTATAGGAGCGACCTCCGGGGGAAGGGGCGGGGGATAGGCCATACACACCCCAAATAACACTTTCCTTTCAGTGAATTCTACTTTCTTGTAAATGTTTATATTCATGAGGTATGGTTTGGATTGTGTTATATGCCCTCTCAGTCGCCTGCCGATGACCACACGTAAAGTTAACAGTATATAGGCACTAATACTGATCGATATCGATGATGATGATGATGATGATGATTATGATATAATAAAAGCCCTAACTCTTGCTGTGCCCATGTCTCATTAGTGGCAAAAACATCTTTTCAATCACACATTGCTTGAAGAACATGCTTTTTATGATGGTAAATTTATTTCAATGTTTATTGCAAGAATCTAGCATTCAAAATCATCACTACTACGTAGAGCTGAGATTGTGATAAGTCCTAAGTAATCACTAGCGCTGTAATAACCCCCCCCCCCGCCAAGACCTTGATGGGGTGATACAGGGAAGGCGCGTACTCGGGGGGGGGGGGGGGGGGGGGGGGGGAGGGGGGTTGGCAGTCGAAACCCCCCACTCCAATTTTTGTTGTTGTGTATTTTGGACGAAACCCCCCCTCATTGTTTTAATTAAAAAATAATTTCAAAAAAATTGTGCTAATGAGTGACCCAAAAAAGGTGACCCCCCCCCCCCCTCCAACGGAACAAAATATTGATCGGCCAAAAGAAAAAAAATGTGTTCCCCCCCCCTCCCGCGCTTATTCAGCGGCTGGCTGAGTCATTGCGAAATTTTTCATCAAATCCTGGACCAAAATTATTTTTTTAAATGTGTGCTTTTACCCCCCCCCCCCCAGCGCTTATTCAGTCGTTACGAAATTTGCAGCGCGATTTTCAAATTTCAAACCCCCCCCCCTTCAAAAAAATCCTGTGTACACGCCTGATACAGGGTGCGTTCAAGCGATTTTTTGAAGCTAGAATCACGAATCACAAATCAAAAGGTCGTTAAAAAACATGGTTACTGCGGGAAAGCGTTCAAGAGATTTTTCATCGATGCTGATTAATTCTCGCTCATTTCAAGCCTAGCCACTGCTCATCACACTGTGCAGATAGACCAAGGAAGTATATGTCAACTTTGCAGCATGCTTTCTATCTGTGTTTACGATCGACTGTCGGTCAACCGGAACAGGCCACGATAATGACATCAGGCGCGGATCCAGGATTTTTAAGGGTGGGGCCAAATTTGAAATTATGCGAGCTAAATATTGGTACGTAATGGTGAACAGCAGTGACGTAACGAGCAAAAACGTTTGGGAGGCATTAAAAAAACTCTGCATCACCCCATTCTCTAACATGCAGGCCCCGCTGAACGTTTTTCAAAGTGGGTGGGGGTATTTACGATCAGGTAGAGCGTAGCGTAATTTGGCGTGGGGTCTAGGGACAAAGCCCTGGCTCAGGGGTATGGGCATTTACTTACGGTCATTGTGACAATGGCAGGTAACTTATTGGCGTGGGCTCAGGGGGCGGATCCCCCTGAAGCTCAGGGTTTTTAGGCGTTTAAATTCTTGTCAGATAAGCATTTTTTGATACCTTATTATTTTGTGACACTGGCGGGACACTATTTGGCGTTGGGTCCAAGGGGCGGAGCCCCCTGAATTTTAAGGGTTTTAGGCATTTAATTACCGTCAGATGAATATCTAAGGGCCCCACCTTAGGGCTCTAGGTGGAATCCGGGGGGCAGAGCCCCCAGAAGCCCAGGGGTTTTAGGTATTTAATCACGGTCAGAGGAGCATATTTTGATACTTTATTATTTTGTGACACTGGCAGTTCACTATTCTTTCTTTCTTGCTCTCTTTCTTTCTATTTCTCTTTAATATACTTTTTCAAAAAAAGTGGTTCCTGTGTTATAGTGTTCGGGTATTTTTTAACGAGAGCTTTTCATATATAATTATTAAAGAATTATTACCGGTACCTAGCTTCATCCATTTAATTATTTTTGGGCAAAAAAGAGCTTCCTTAAAAGATGTCTTGTCATCACTCTTTAACGTACTGTACATGCTACACAAATGAGGAACCAACATTTAAAGGATTTTAAGGAACCTCATTCTAATTTTACGATAATTTTCATGAACAAAATTGAATAAACTTATAGAGAGATTGCTCAATGGCATTAGTCAGGGTAATGGATTTCCTACAACAATTGTACACAACATTATAATATGGTTAACCCTATCTAGACCGGGGTTTTAAAAAAATACATAGCCGGGGGGGCCCCTATGATCTCAGTCGCGGAAATGTGCATGCATGTCAAGTGAAGTGCATAGATTACTATGGTAATTTCTTAATTTTTTTTTTTTTTTTTTTGGGGGGGGGGGGGGGCAAAATTGACTCATTTGCATATTTATGGTAATTTATGCAAATAAGGTAATGAAATTCTCATTTTTACCCATAAATCATATATTCTGTGTATTTAAACATTATTTTTCACTACATATATTCTTCAGATCATTTGGGATAATAATACAACAAAAGAAATTGGAAGAGCCAGGTTATTCCTTATCTATTAATTTGATAGTTTCTTATGTATCTCTTTGATTTTTTAATTAATGTATTTCATTGTTAAAAAAAAATTATATATTAATTCTAACTATAATTCAACTATTTTGAACCCCATGTAATTTCAAAACAAGACCAAATTACCAATGTTTTATATCTTTGTTGGAAAAATTAAATTTCCATGTTTAGTACACAAGTCACGAAAATGAGCGATTTTGGGGCTGACATGCAAAGACGAAAGGTCATGTGACTTTGCAACGGTAGGTCCAATTTTTCAAAGATTCTTTGGCGTTGAAAAATTATTGTAAAAAATGGCTAATTAGGGTTAATGAGTGAAGGCGTTTGGAAAGTTAGCATTGTTCAGGTTTTGACAAAATCACAAAACCATTGAGTTAATCAAACAACAACAACAACGACTATACTACTATGTACTGCTACTAGTATAACACTACTACAACTTCTTCTTCTACTACGACTACTTTATGTATTCCTAGTCTCCTACTACTGCTACTACTACTACTACTACCGTACTACTACTACTACTACTACTACTACTACTACTACTTCTACCGTACTACTACTACTTTATGTATTCCTAGTCTCCTACTACCGTGCTACTACTACAACAATAACTATTATTACTACTACTACCACCGTTATATAATATTACGCTATGTACTCCTCCTATGACTACTACAGCTAATACCGTACTACTACTACTTTAAGTACATGTACTACTTATACTACTACTTCTACTACTATTACTACCACCACTGTGCTACTTCTACTACTACTACTACTACTACTACTACTACTGCTGCTGCTGCTACAACTGTACTGCTACTACTACTACCACTACTACTACTGCTTAATGTACTCCTACTACTACCACCGTACTACTACTACTACTTAATATACTCTTGGTCGGTAAATGGTTAGAGAATTGATGTTGGAACGTCATTAATTCAACCAAAGTTTGACATGAAAAAGTGGATGTTGGGCTGCCATCGCGGAAAGTGGTTGGAATGAAGTAGGTTGGTAAATGGTTTAATCAATAATTCACCCTGTAAATGATTTTTTGAATTATTATAAGCATTACAAATGAGTATCACTATCATATTATCAAAGAAAGAATTTCAGAAAATTGTAATAATAATATTTAATATTTATACAGCACACATATCCACCTCTCAAGGTGCTGCAATATAGGCTACCGATTTTGGTGCTCAAATGGGAGAGGTATTCAGAAGGATGTCAAAGAGAACTGCCTTTGATTGCGATTACAGATCGAATTTGGCAAAAATGAGTGAAAAAAGGAAGTTTGCGAAAGTTTGATATTGGGCAAATAATAACTTATGAAAACCAAGGAGGTTCAAGGTTCAAGTTTCAAAAGTGGGGATTATTAGAGAACCTTCTGTTTACTTCATAACTTCACGTATTATGTTTAAGTTGGCCTTTTTAAAAACATTTGTTTTGTACCACCAATTTCCTAGATATGTCAAATTCTTTAGATTATGATGCATGATACTAGGCCTCCCAGAAAACACTGATTTATATAATATCTGCCAACAAGATGCTTGAATGCCAATCCCTGAATTTATGAAGTAGATGGTAACAGAAGATCATAAGACGGGAGGAAGGCTACATCATCTAATAACTATTGAAAAAATATGTTTGTTGTGCCATATGCTACAAACCTCTAGATCTAAATAATACGTTCTTATGATTACACTATATGATTGTTTCTCTAAAACGTGGTTATGAACACACACTCACCCACTACAGTGACCGTGAAGTTACAGTTGTAGTGTGGATAACCAGTCAGATAAGCAGTGACAGTATGGTTTCCAAGAGAAAAGGAGGACCCATCGGCCGGAGTGTAGAGAATGGGGAACACATTACCGTGTGTCGAAGTAGCAAGTTGCCAGTTTGCTGATACTGCAATACCGGGGCCACCCTCTACCATCACGTTCTCCGGACAGTCAGGGGAAACAATGGCTGTAAGGAGGGAGGTGGGTATATACATGTACACAAGATTAACACACAGATCCGCATGCAAGTGAGGAGATATCAGGTAGATCTAATGATATGATCGACAGGGTTGGGCGGTAAATACCGGTGGCTGTTAATACCGGTAAATAAGATGCGCGTCCGGTAAATATGTAAAAAACGGGAAATATGATATTAATTCTCTATTTATTAATAATTTTACTTGGTTTTTAGCCTCATAACTAAAAATATTGTTCTGAATAATTAGCAGCACAAAATCATAATAGGAACACACAAACAGATTTGTAAAATCCTCACTGCATACATTTACACACCCAAACAAAGGGCATTTTGTTCATATGCTAATTAATAGGTATTCATGAATATTGTAATTAGCAACTGGGAACCAAAACCTTCATACAAGTTACTTTTATTGTAAAGTTTAAGATATTTGAATAAAATCAGTGAAAATTAGAACAAAATCGGGCAAGGAATAAGGAAGTTCAAGTTTTTTTAAATGACTAGTCACTAGAGGGCGATATTCAATTTGATGACATCATTGGAAAACTCTCCATGCCTTTTGTACATCAAATTTCATGTTTTTCCTTCTTTCTAGTGATTGAGATAATAGAATGCAAGATGATATTCTACTTCACATGTTATGAAATCCTATCAAGAACACAAATAAATACAACAAAAAAAAACGAAAGAATTGTGAAATTTGATGTACAAAAGGCATGAAGAGTTGTCCTCAAATGATGACATCAAATTGAATATCGCCCTCTAGTGACTACTGTACTGCTACTACTACTACCACTACTACTACTGCTTAATGTACTCCTACTACTACCCACCGTACTACTACTACTACTTAATATACTCTTGGTCGGTAAATGGTTAGAGAATTGATGTTGGAACGTCATTAATTCAACCAAAGTTTGACATGAAAAAGTGGATGTTGGGCTGCCATCGCGGAAAGTGGTTGGAATGAAGTAGGTTGGTAAATGGTTTAATCAATAATTCACCCTGTAAATGATTTTTTGAATTATTATAAGCATTACAAATGAGTATCACTATCATATTATCAAAGAAAGAATTTCAGAAAATTGTAATAATAATATTTAATATTTATACAGCACACATATCCACCTCTCAAGGTGCTGCAATATAGGCTACCGATTTTGGTGCTCAAATGGGAGAGGTATTCAGAGGGATGTCAAAGAGAACTGCCTTTGATTGCGATTACAGATCGAATTGGCAAAAATGAGTGAAAAAAGGAAGTTTGCGAAAGTTTGATATTGGGCAAATAATAACTTGTGAAAACCAAGGAGGTTCAAGTTTCAAAAGTGGGGATTATAAGAGAACCTTCTGTTTACTTCATAACTTAATTCACGTATTATGTTTAAGTTGGCCTTTTTAAAAACATTTGTTTTGTACCACCAATTTCCTAGATATGTCAAATTCTTTAGATTATATGATGCATGATAGTAGGCCTCCCAGAAAACACTGATTTATCTGCCAACAAGATGCTTGGAATGCCAATCCCTGAATTTATGAAGTAGATGGTAACAGAAGATCATAAGACGGGAGGAAGGCTACATCATCTAATAACTATTGAAAAAATATGTTTGTTGTGCCATATGCTACAGACCTCTAGATCTAAATAATACGTTCTTATGATTACACTTCAATATGATTCTTTCTCTAATATGTGGTTATGAACACACACTCACCCACTACAGTGACCGTGAAGTTACAGTTGTAGTTGTGTGTGATAACAAGTCAGATAAGCAGTGACAGTATGGTTTCCAAAGAGGAAAAGGAGGACCGATTGGCTGGAGTGTAGCTAATGGGGAACTCTTCACCGAGTGTCGAAGTAGCAGGTTGCCAGCTTGCTGATACTGCAATACCGGGGCCACCCTCTTCGTATACCATCACGTTCTCCGGACAGTCAGGGGAAACAATCGCTGTCAGGAGGGAGGTGGGTATATACACAAGATTAACACACAGATCCGCATGCAAGTGAGGAGATATCAGGGGCTTTCATCGAAAGGGTGCGTTGCGGTGCGGCGCGGTGTGGTGTGCTCAACGCACCCATTCGATAAAAGAGGGGGGCCTTTTCTCGAAAGGGTGCGTTGAGAGCGGAGTACCGTTTTAACACACCCTTTCGATAAACGACTCAGCCAGTGGGGTGCGTCGAGGCTTTCTCGAAAGGGTGCGTCGACTAGTCTTCGCATCAGTCGTTTAAAATGAGGATCTCGGACAGAAGGTAATAGTTGCCAATCTAAGTATATCGAAAATGTATTAAATAAAATGGAATGGTCTTGATTACAGAGTGGTCTCTTTCGTTATTACTATGTTGATGGGGGAGACAGAGAGAAGGAAAAAAGGGAAAGGGAAGATAAAAGGGAAGAAAGAAGAATAAGAAGAGAAGAGGGAAACGGGGGGGGGGGCGAAGGACTCTTGCCCCCCCCCCCGCCAAAAAATAAATCAGAGAGAGAGAAGGGAAAGGGAAAGAGAAGATAAAAGGAAAGAAAGAAGAAGAAGAAGGAAAGAGGGAAACGTGGGCAAAGGACTTTTGCCTCCTCCCCCACCAACAAATAAATAGGAGAGAGAGAGCGATAGAGAGAAAGGAAAAGGAAAGGGAAAGAGAATATAAAAGGAAAGAAAGAAGAATAAGAAGAAAAGAGGGAAACGGGGGCTAAGGGCTCTTGCCTCCTCCCCCCCGCCAACAAATAAATAGGAGAGAGAGAGAGAGAGAGAGAGAAGGGAAAAGGAAAGAGAAATAAAAGGAAAGAAAGAAGAATATAAGAAGAAAAGAGGGAAACGGGGCGAAGGGCTCTTGCCTCCTCCCCCCCCCCCCGCCAACAAATAAATAGGAGAGAGAGAGAGAGAGAGAGAGAGAAGGGAAAGGAAAAGAAAATATAAAAGGAAAGAAAGAAGAAGAAGAAGGAAAGATGGATACGGAGGAAGGGCGAAAGGTTCTACCCCCCCCCTTCCCGCCAAAAAAATTAATAAGAGAGAGAGAGAGAGAAAGGGAGAGGGAAAGAAAATCTAAAAGGAAAGAAAGAAGAGGAAAAAGAATTAGAAAAGAGGGGAAAGGGGGCGAAGGGCTCTTGCCAACAAAATAAATAAGAGAAAGAGAGAAGGGAAAGGGAAAGAGAAGATAAAAGGAAAGAAAGAAGAGGAAGAAGAAGAAGAAAAGAGGTAAACGGGGGCGAAGGGCTCTTGCCTCCCCCCGCCAAAAGTAAATAAGAGAGAGAGAAGGGAGAGGGAAAGAAAATATAAAAGGAAAGAAAGAAGAGGAATAAGAAGGAAAGAGGGAAAACGGGGGAAGGGCGAAGGGCTCTTGCCCCCCCCCTCGCCAACAAAATAAATAAGAGAGAGAGAGTGGAGGGAAAGGGAAAGAAAATATAAAAGGAAAGAAAGAAGAGGAAAAAGAATAAGAAAAGAGGGAAACAGGGGCGAAGGGCTCTTGCCTCCTCCCTCCCCCCCCCCCAAAAAATAAATAAGAGAGAGAGAGAGAGAGAATCTGTTCTGATCTTGGTCCTGATCCTCAAGAGGGATATAAAGATGACCAATAAGAACGTTATCGTTCGAGAGAGAGTGTTTGTTGCTTCTAGAACATTTTAGAATTAAGTCCCATCACATTGCAGTTGTGGGGAGGGACTATGATTATATTACCCCCTTGGATGGCTTCCCAGAGTCTGGCTTTGAAGGTTTCGACTGCGTCGCAGGCAAAGATGCTGGGGGGGGGGGGGGGGGGGGGAAAGTAAATTCCAGGCCCGTATGGTTCTTGGAAAGAAGGTGAGTCGATATATATCCGTCTTGCATCTTATGTTGGAGAAGAAGAGGGAAAGAGAAGATAAAAGGAAAGAAAGAAGAGGAAGAGGAAGAAGAATTTGTGTTCTGCCAGTGTCACAAGATATATAAAATATGCTCATCTGACGATAATTTGATGTATAAAACCCTCACCTTCTTGGGGCTCCGCCCTTGGATCCAACACCAATCTGTGTCCTTCCAGTGTCACAAATAGATATAAAAATATGCTCATCTGACCGTTATTTATTGCCCAAAACCCCTGAGCTTCCGGTGATCACCCCCTGGACCCCACACCAATTCGTGACCCCTGTGTCACAAAAATTAATGGACAAAACTCCTGAGCTTCTGGGGGCTCCGCCCCCTGGACCCAACGCCAAATTGTGTCCTGCCACTGTCACAAATAAGGTATAAAATTATGCTCATCCGACGTTAATTTTGATGTTTAATACCCCTGAGCTTCTGAGGGCTCCGCCCTGTGAAAAAAAACGTGTAAAAAAAACACGTTAATTTTTACCGTTTTTGGGAGATACCCCCCCCCCCCTGGCGTTTGGGGGGGGGGTACGATTTTTCAAATTTTTGAGGGCCCCCAAAAAGATTAGTGCTCTCTAGTAATTTCGCGACTACTCCGGAACCGCGGCAGATATAAAGTTTTTCTTTCATGACTTTTTTCTTTCGAGTCTTACGCATCTTTTGAAACATTTTTTTGTTGAAAATCGGACGTATAATTGCGGAGTCACGTGACCTTTTTGTTTTGCATGTCAGCCCTAAATCGCTCATTTTTGTGATTTATGTACCAAACATATGGAAATACCATTTATTCTTTAAAAAAAAAAGAAAAACATTGGTTATTTGGTCTCGTTTCAAGTTAATGTTTGATTTTGGGTAAAAATAGTTGGAATTGTGGTTAGAAATGAAATGAAATAACAAAATAATATAATACATAAATACAAATTATCAAAACAAGAGATAACATAGGGATAAACTGGCTCTTCCAACTTTGTTGTCGTATTATTATTCTAACGAATATATGAAGTGAAAAGAACGCTCGAATATGAATTATATATGATTTATGGGTAAAAATGTGAATTCTCTGACCTTGTTTGCATAAATTACCATAAATATGCATTTTCGCGGCGATCGGTTGTGAAACGGCCGAGATCTTAGGGGGACCCCCACCCCACCCTCAAGTCCACTCCAATCACATTGAAAAAAAGTATGACTTAAATCATCTCTCTCACCATTATACCGCTATAGTATTCATGTTTTTAATATTATTTATTGTCCATTAAACAAGTTCATAGAGATAATACTTATCTCTCTGCAACATAAAAAAGAATCTTCATTAATATGTCTTAATTTGTATTGATAGCCTTGTGGTCGCCAACAGTGGCGAAGGCAGGGGCGTCTCCAAAGGGGTGTGGGGGTGCGACACCCCCCCCATCTGTCAAGATATTGTCGGTAAAATTGCGCTGCCGTCGGGAAAAAAGAGAAAAGGGGGAGGGGAAAAAAGAGAGTAAAAGGGAAAGAAAAGAAAAAAAGAAAAGAAAAGAAAAAAAAAAAAGAAAAGAAAGGAAAGAAAAGAGAAGAAAGAAAAGAAAGAAAGAGAAAAACGAAAAAGCGGGAGAACAGGAAAGAAAGGAGGCAAGAGCCCTTTGCCCCCGTTACCCTCTTTTCTTCTTCTTCCTCTTCTTTCCTTCCTTTTATCTTCTCTTTCCCTTTCCTTCTCTCTTTCTCTCTTATTTATTTTTGGCGGGGGGGGGGGGGGGGAGGGAGGAGGCAAGAGCCCTTCGCCCCCGTTTCCCACTTTTCTTATTCTTTTCCTCTTCTTTCTTTCCTTTTATATTTTCTTTCCCTCTCCCTTCTCTCTCCCCTCTTATTTTTTTTTTTTTGGCGGGAGGGGGGGGGGGGGGGTAAAAGCTTTTCGCCCTTCCCCCGTTTTTCTTCCTTCTTCTTCTTCTTTTTTTTCCTTTTATATTCCTTTTCTCTTTCCCTTTCCTTCTCTCTTTCTCTCTTATTTATTTTTTGCCGGGGGGGGGGGGGGGCAAGAGCCCTTCGCCCCCGTTTCCCCCTTTTTCCTTTCCTTTATCTTCTCTTTCCCTTTCCCTTTCCCTTCTCTCTCTCTCTCTCTCTCTCTCTCTTATTTATTTTTTGCCGGGGGGGGGGGCAAGAGCCCTTCGCCCCGTTTCCCCCTTTTTCCTTTCCTTTTATCTTCTCTTTCCCTTTCCCTTTCCCTTCTCTCTCTCTCTCTCTCTCTTATTTATTTTTGCCCGGGGGGGGGGGGAGGAGGCAACAGCCCTTCGCCCCCGTTTCCCTCTTTTCTTATTCTTTTCCTCTTCTTTCTTTCCTTTTAGATTTTCTTTCCCTCTCCCTTCTCTCTCTGTTATTTATTTTTTTGGCGGGAGGGGGTGGGGGGGGGGGGGAGGTAAGAACCTTTCGCCCTTCCTCCGTATCATCTTTCCTTCTTCTTCTTCTTTCTTTCCTTTTATATTTTCTTTTCCTTTCCCTTCTCTCTCTCTCTTCTCTCTCTCTCCTATTTATTTGTTGGCGGGGGGGGGGGGGGGGAGGGAGGCAAGAGCCCTTCGCCCTCGTTTCCCTCTTTTCTTCTTATTCTTCTTTCTTTCCTTTTATATTCTCTTTCCTTTTCCCTTTCTCTCTCTCTCTCTCTCTCTCTCCTATTTATTTGTTGGCGGGGGGGGGGAGGAGGCAAGAGCCCTTCGCCCCCGTTTCCCTCTTTTCTTCTTATTCTTCTTTCTTTCTTTTATATTCTCTTTCCCTTTCCCTTTTCTCTCTCTCTCTCTCTCTCTCTCTCTCTTATTTGTTTTTTTTGGGGGGGGGGGGGGGGGGGGGGGAGGGCAAGAGCCCTTCGCCCCGTGTCCCTCTTTTTTTCTCTTTCCTTTCTTTCTTTCCTTTTTTTTTTCTTTTCCTTTTTCCCTTTCTCTTTCCTTTCCCTCTCTTCTCTCTCTCTCTCTATTTTTTTTTGGTGGGGGGGGGGGGGGGAGGAGGAGGCAAGAGCCTTTTGCCCTTCCCCCATTTCCCTCTTTCCTTCTTCTCTTCTTTCTTTCCTTTTAATATTTCTTCCCTTTCCCTTCTCTCTCTTTTTCTCTCTCTCCTATTTATTTGTTGGCGGGGGGGGGGGGGGAGGAGGCAAGAGCCCTTCGCCCCCGTTTCCCTCTTTTCTTTTTATTCTTCTTCTTCTTCTTTCTTTCCTTT